ATGAAAATGTTAATCAAACATTTGATAAGATTAAAATATTTGCCAAAAAACAAAAAAAATCCGGCATGGAAATTTTTATAGATAAGCATAACGAGCGTAATGAATATTTAGGTTTCAGAAATTCCTTGCTCTTAACTTATCTGGTAATCTGCTCAACGAAAAAAGCCATAAATAATTAATATCAGACAATGTTAGCTTGAGCTGAAATTTCTAAATGCCCAATTATACAAGTGTCATGGGGAAATAGCTTTCGTTAATTAATGTCCAACAGCTCCGATACGAATGCATTGTTGGTATGTCACCTAACATAGCTAGCAGGAGACATACATGCATATCGTATGTAAATTGGCTTGTTCCGGGCTTAGCTCTGTGTAAATAATACAAATGCTCGACTGACTAAGAGGGTTTTAACTAATTCACTGTGGTAATTGAGAGCCGATGGAGGAACGTGACCATCGAATATGACTCACCGACTCACAGGCATCGAGCAACACAATTGAATTGTTCGCTGACATACATAAATAATGCTGCAGAGAGCTGACCAGCAAAACTATTTTCTGGCAGCTATTACGTGTAATTCGTTCTAGAAAACGTTTCATGTACAACAAACACGCAATATTCAGGCACCTCAACAAACAAACCCACAAAGGATTCTTTGCTACTTAAAGTTGCACAAGTCAATCAAAGTAGTATGTATAACATCGTATTTATAACACCCACTTTTTAATATCACTGTTAAGTTTTCGTCTTTAAAGGGCTTTAAAGTTTTTTATAGACAAAATATATAAAAAAAAAAAATTGTATATTTATTTTTGGTTTGATTTAAATTTAGGAAACGCTTTTTTTTTTTAATTAACTTTGAAATCCAAGAATCTATTTTAATTAAAAATTATTTAATATTTTAAAATTGAGCTGGGATTCAAGGCGAATATGATTCAATTTTAATTTGAATCTATAAAATTTAAAATTTTATTGAATATATAAAAACCTTACCATCATAATCATAAATATATCAGCATAAAAAATTAAACTTAGTTAATATATTATTTTAAATTTAAACAATATGTGAATATCTGTTTTTTTTTTTAATATGAATACCTATTTCATAATCTTTGAATCAAGTTTTCCAATAGAGTTTTTATTTATCATATATATGAAACAATTTTAATTTGAATCTATAAAATTAAAAAATTTCAATCGAAACTTATTTTTAATTTTTTTTTTTTTTTTTTTTTTGAATATATAAAAACGTCAATCATTAAAAATATCAGCATAAAAAATTATTTCAAACGTGTCCAAAAATTTAAATAGGAAGCAAAAAAAAAAAAAAAATAACGTACACTTACATAAAACTTAACTTCATTGCTCATTTGTAAACTGAGAATGGTTATTTCGCAGTGAAGTTAATTTGGCCAAAAATAACTCAATTGTCCAACAAATACGCGTATCAAAGGCTCACAATGCCCTAGGTGTAATCTCAAAAAGGTCACAGAAAGAATAGCTAACTATATGGTTTATCTAGCTAATTATATGTCCCAGGAGTCCTGAAATTACTTCCATCAATTTATACACCGTAGGTATGTGTGTACCAGGTAAGTACATATCTATTTATAATATAAACAATAATAGTTATTTGCATACGCCGGGCACAACTACCACAGATACACGTGTTTGTAGCTAAAAAGCAACGCCAACATAGTATAGCAATTATTGTGGTCACAAATATAATTGCATTGGTCACGGAAACAACAAATTAAGCTGCCTGCCCATATATACATATATTCACTTGCATATATAGTCTATTTTCGTATAATATAGATTATTTTTTTATTTTGATATTTTGATATTATGAAATTGCGTTGCCTTAAGAGACAAACTTTTATAATTTGTATTTTTGCTGAGTTTAATCTTTGAAAAAAAAAAAAAAAAACTGACCAACTTTGCTATTATAAACAAATTTGTGCCCTCAGTTAAGTCCCTGCGATGGTTGCGACACGCACGTGTGCGGATTGTTTCAGAGTTTCTTTTGCATAAATTTAAAATACAGAGGCAGCGAAAATTCAGGGAGGTAGCTAAGAGAAACTGCTGGGAAATTTTAGTTTTTTAAATTGATTTACAATAATTTTAAATATTAAACAATTAACTAACCCAGAAGCCAAAATAAAATATATTAACAAAGAAAATATAATTTCACAACAAACATTTCAAATTGCAAAATTTATAAAAATTTGTTAGCCAATTCTGCTGTCGAATTCTAAGACCCAAAGGTTTAACACCTCAAACATAAAAATAAATTAGCTAATTACAACGGCATGTATAGAAGATCCCACACAGACAACTTAAAGCCATGGCATTACTCATACGCAGCGGATGACAAGCATAATATATATACATATATATATCTTTTTTTTAAGCACTCGCATTGGATGTCATAAATATTTTTTTAGTAGCAGCACGTGAGCCAAAAACGAAGCGGGCCAAAGAAAAGAAAAAGTCAGAGAAAAAAGAAAATGAAATGAAAATCGATTGTTTTTGACCTCATAGAGGAATAGCACACATTTGGAGCGTTGAGGCATTAGGCGACAGTCGGCCAACAATTCTACACATTCGCGTTTCTCATTCCGCACTTCTCGCTCGCCAGCCGGGTGCAATGGCACTAATGAAGAAAAGAGCCAACTGAAATAAAAACGAAAACTGAAAAAAGCAAACAAACACGCCATGTCTCGGCGTGTAGGTGTCTGGCTTATTCCCAGTCCCAAGATGCAAACTAAAAAAAAGAAAAAGCCCAGGCAGACAGCTTTAATTCTATTCTTCTATATACATGTATGGTGCTTTTTCTCTATTATTTTTCTTTTTTTTTTTTTTTTGCCCATTTACAGGCAAATGAATGTAACACGCGAACTAAGCCCAGTAGCACAAGGAACAAAATAAAGTAATGCCCGCGAAAGCCAATAAATTTGCACAACACTCATGAAAACCACGGGCAAAAAAAAAAAAGTGAAAACGAAATGATGAAAGCGCAAAGATATAAATAAAATAAATACATGGGTACATTTTATATATGTATAAGTACATATATATTTATGATGGCATTTCGTCCCAAATTATGCCCAGGAGCGCAAAAGTCGCCCAAAACTTGATTTAATTAGTTCAAAATAAATATTCCGTTGTCTCTTGTGGTCGATCCGCCGAAGTACTCAAGAGACATAATTGTTAGGCTCACTTCAAGATGCTATTAAATAGCCTCTGCCTTCGTTTCTTATTTGTAGCCCAGCCAATTTAGGGCACAAAGTGCTTAAGATATTCATGAGCTTTTTCTAATTTTAAAGACTTTAAAATAAAGAGTCACTAAAAAATCTTGTGCCTTAAACATAATTTGTTTATTTTTTGCAAGTAATATCTAAGATATATACAAGTCATGTTAATTTAAAGACTTAGATCGTGATCGAGCAGCAATGTGGGATAAGCAGCACTTCGAGTAGATGAGGAATATTTTATTAGATAATCAATAGTCGAAGTCTTGAGCACAAAAAAAAAATTCCATCGACAAACATAATATATTATTTTGTAATTTTAATGCCCAACTTTGGAGAAAAAATTTTACAAATTAAGTTTCATTATGGAGCCTCGTTTTAAGACCTTGCTTACAGGAAACTAGATTAATTCAAGCAATTGTAGGCATATTTAATATATGATTTTTTACATTTCGCGATTCATGTGTAACCAAAATTTTATATATTAATAATTTTT